TTTTGAACAGAGTCATCTAAGCTTCATTAGGATCCTGTCAAGGAAAAATTATGCTCCAAGAGTTGCATCAACATGAGTGATGTGGCTGATAACAGTTTTATGTTCAGGTTTATGCTGATCTAGTAATTCAGAATAACATTAACAATGTGATGCTGGTTAACTGCTCTTTTCATTTGGTTAGTCAGAGACCAAGGTGGTTCACCATGTTTTGACCATGAAAATATACTCCCAGTTTGGCTCTGGGGTAATCAGGTTACTTGTCAACTTCATCAGTGATATTCCAATCAGATGTATTTCTTTGGTAGTCAGGCTGTTAGAACATTCTTCTCTTCATGCTAACCTGCATTCCTGTTTCAGGTGAGGATAAAGGAAGCTCAGACTGTGCACCGTTCTCCCTCTATTGTAAAAATAACTCAGTTGTTCTGCAATTTTTCCAGTTTTGATGGCAATGTTTGTGACTGGTCTGTGAAGAGAGAAGCAATTGTAGCTTCAGAGTTAGGGAAATGCAGACACAGCTGGCAAACTTTAAGCCTCATGTACAATTTTAGTGCACAGTTTGTAATAATTCATGGAAAGCTTTCTAAAATGTGTCTTTTTAAATGGATTGGTTTGTCAGTTGTGCGCCAGGTTTTTCAGACCTGATGAACTGGTTCCAAATCACTCATCATGCCAAACACTGCTTGATGCCTTTTACTTTCACTGACCTACAGGATAGATTTGTCCACTCTGTCCTGCTCATTTTCAGTACAGTTTGAAACTTTTTTCCACTGCTTCCCAGCAGTTTAGATAATAACTGTTAACTGAAGTAATAAGTAACTCCTTGCTACTGTCTGAAAATCTCAAAGAATTCGTAAAGGAAATGAGCACAATTTGTGTTAGAATCACAGAACCATCAAGATTGGAGGAGACCTCTGAGATCATTGAGTCCAACCATTATCCTGTCACTGCTGGAACCCCTAAACCATATCCTCCACCCCCCAATCCCCATGTCCAGATCATCACTGAAGATGTTAAACAGGACTGGCCCCAGTACTGAGCCCTGGGGGACACCACTGGTGACAGCCCCAACTGGATTTAGCTCCATTAACTACAGCTCTCTGGGCCAATCAGCCAGTTTTTTACGCATGGAATAGTCCACCCATTCAAGCCACTGGCTCCCAGTTTTTCTAGAAGTGTTAGCTGACTGCAGTATCTGTCCTGTGAACTTCAGCAGTTCAGAAGTTCAACCTTTGCATTGAGCTGTTCCTGTGTAGCTCTGTGGCACATGGGGTTATGTAGCAGAAATCTGGGGTCAGGAAATGCTTCAGACACTCCACTTCACCTGAAAGTGCAAAAATATTTTAGGCATTTTTCCTCTAATTGCACACGGTAGATCACTGCTGACAAGTGTGTGTCCATAGCTATAGTATGAGAGCCTTTATTTGCTCTAATGGGACTGAAGAAATTGAAGAACTGTTGATATTGCTCACATATATGTTCAAGTTTACTCCTGAAACATTAGCACCGTAATTGGGGCATGGGGGGGAGCAACTTGCTGTAAAATGTAGCCCAGAGTTCTGTCTGGAAGTGGTGGGGTGGCAGCAGTAGGGCTGAAATATTTGGATTATGTTGGTAGTATCTTCCTCTTGCTTTACACTGTGTGCTGAGAGTAGTATCTAGTAAATTATTTTGATTAGAGTTCCTCTATCGCTATCAAGGTTTCTAAACACAGCAGAATGACCTTTAGGTTTTAACAATAAACAATGCCTCTGGATCATGCTGCTTTCTCCAAAGAGTAGATGAATGTGGTTAGCATGACCTTCTCCTAAGACACAAACAGCAAGTGGCAAGAGGCAGAAACCCCAAAACATTTACATAAGGGCTGTGGTTTTGAATATCAAATTGTCCCATAGATGTAAATAATATCAGTTACGCCACGTAGGTGATATGTGATTCCACTTTGGAAGTGCTGTGATGTTTGTCTGGATCAGGACACTTCAACAGCTGAGGTATCATGTGGAAAAGCCAATACTTTTGAGTCAGGTTTTGTGTTAGAAGGAATAATGAGGTTTGAAGTAAGATGTTTTGCTTAGTGACTGAACGTCAAGCCCTGACTACAAAATATAGTTCTTCTTATAGGTGTTCTTATCCAAAGCAATAGATGGTTTTGTGTATAGTTTTGTCATTTTGTTTTTAATATGAAGTTCTATGATTAAAGGAAATTTTGGAATGAGAATCACTGAATAATCAGAGCTGGAAGGGACCCTTGAGGATCACCCAGCCCGACTCCTGCCCTGCACAGACATCCCTGACAATCACACCCTGTGCCTGAGAGCATTGGCCGAACACCTCTGGAGCTCTGTCAGCCTTGGAGCTGTGACACTGCCCTGGGGAGCTGTTCAGTGCCCAAACACCTCTGGGGAAAGAAGAACCAGTTGCTAATCTCCAGCCTAACCCTCCCCTGACACAACTTCAGCCCATTCCCTGGGTCCTGTCCCTGGTCCCAGAGAGAAGAGGTCAGAGCTGTCCCTG